ACGCTACATTGTGAATTAAAAAAATTAAAAAAGTGTTTATTAATTTAAACCAGAAATAAAACAGAGAAACAGAAACATAAATTCAGAAGTTTTTAAATTACTTTAATTTGTTATTTTTGTAATTTACTTTTAAAAATGTGTTAAATAAATAAGACGTACGAGTATAGCAATTTTCAATGCTGTGTTAGTCCCCACGTGTCAGTGAAAGATAAGTATTGCAAAAATCGTGAGAGTGAAATTAATACTGTATATAATATGCGGTCATTAAGAAGTATGTTAGGCGTGTTCTCTGAATGATTGGGTGATAAATTGTGTGATGAGAAAAAAAGTGTGGTTTGCAAAACAATGTCGTGAAAGCAAAGCCTCGTTACGAATACTGAGAAATTATCAATCAAACGGCAATTTCACAATAACCTAAAATCTTATACGTGCGACTGTCTAGTTGTTTTTATTGATATTCTATGTTATAATCAGAAAAATTGAGTAACAGAGTCGGTAAAGAACGCAAAAGACGAAAAGTTTTTAACGTATTTGACGATATATTTAAAATGGACCTTATTCGACGAGCATGTACGCATATATGATTAATATAAATATATGATTGTAAAAGGAAAGAGAAAGAGAGGTGTGTCAAAATCGTGCCAAATGAAAGTCCGTAGTCTCTGCCTGTCCCTCTTGATGACCGGCGTAAGAGTTTCTGTATTTACGTTACCAATTAATTACTATTACTATTATTTATTTTATGCTAATGGGAGAATTTGTGTATACATAATTATTAAATAAATTTTTTATTAAATTAAATCTAACTTATAAAATAAATCTAACACTTAATTTAGGAAACAATTAACGCCATAAAAGTCAAAAGCTACTTCAATTCAAACAGTGTAGTAATTACCAATTTACCAATTAAGTCATAAGTACGCTTTTAAAACTTAATCTGAACCCGTTTTATAATCCTATCTTTCGCTCTTGACGTTTTATCGAAGCTTACTTTTTACCCGACTGTAAAGAAAAAGGAACGAAGGAGGGTAAAGTTTATAAAGTGTATATATGTAGGTATGTATATATTGTCTTTTATTTTGACCCGCTATGAAACCTAAACGGCAACAGGTGTCTCGTTAGATTCGTCTTTGTTGCGGAAATGACCGTATATTAACTGTATTTAAAAATTAATCATGAACAACACTTGGAATGGCCTTCCAAAAGGGATAGTATACATTAATAGCCGAATTGCTGATATACACCATGTCAGGGGCACGAATAGTACCTGAATAATTAAATTGCGAGTAGGCGGACTGCAGATTTTCTTTTAAGGACATATCTCAAAATATCCTATTCATCAAACATGCAGGTTTCTTCACGATATTGGACTTCATCACCGAGCACGTGGTAAATCAGCACTTGAAATTGCAATTTAAAATTGAGTGTTGGGAGCAGGATCAGACCCGGTGCTCGCGTACTGTGTAATTTCCGGCGAGCGCCCAACCCCTGGGCTACCTTTTTTTTTTCAACTTATTTTATCAAAAACATATTTATACAAGCTATTATATATACAATCTATTATATATCTATTATATATTATACAATCGTTCCGTATTATATTTCATAGGAGCGCTTCGCACGTCGTGTTTGTATGTGAACCCGGGACCGCAGGAGACGGAGAACGAGCTCGTGGCTCGCTCCATTCCATCAGGCGAGGTTCTCTGGACGTGCGCTCCGTTGCCTCTGACGGACTACGGCGGACCTCGCTCGCTAAACTGCAAGGCTTACCACTTGAAGCGCCCATCACTAAGGTAATAGAGCACATTTCTCTTTTATTAATACGTTTGGTAATGAAGTAAGGGAGATTAAAATAAAGTTCAACGCATAGGAAGAAAAATACTACTAAAAGCTTCTTATCTCATTATTTGCATCTTGAAGATAATAAGTTAGTTAGTAAGGAAGGATGAAAATGAAAATATAAGAAGGACTAAGAAAAGTCATCATTAAATGTTTATTATGAGAGACCTTGCGACAAATCAACCCTTTTAAAACATTTTTATGTTTATGTTTCGTTACTTTCTACCTTTAGTCGGAGATTTTTCAAAGAATGTATTCAGTCTTGGGATTATTCAAAATGCTTCGTTTTGCTTTTTATATACAGGGTTATTTTGCAATAACTTATAAATATATTTTGTATAAATTACAGAGAAGGTTCAGAATAAGTAATATAGGCAAATGGTGTAGAAAAATTAATTTAAAAAAAACCTCAAGCATTTTGCCTTTTCATCTTTTTAATTCAAAATGCGTGATAATGCATTATTTTAACTGATTTTATTGCGCACGCACACATTCGTAAGGTCGATCGGTAGACAAAAACGTTGTTGTTCTTAAATCACATACAATTTTGTATCATAATGGACTGCAACTATCAGCGACGCGGACTGCTTAATTCTGGGTATTGAAACTCTGACTCCAATGCGTCCAACTTACATTATGATATGAAAAGCGATGATTTTTTTATAAGATAGGGAGAGAAACGAGCACACAGTCCACCTCATGGTAAGTGGTTGCTATGGCCCATAGACACATCCTACACTCAATAACGAATCAAAATGTAGATGTGTTGTCACACCTGAGGACTAAGGTGGAATGCCTCGTTTCCGGTGAAAAGGGTCTCGGGTTCTCTATACTCACCATACAAAATAGCAACGTTAAGCTAGTTCACGCTATTATTCTGTGAGAGCGTGATCCTTCCCCGGCCGAGCCGACCCATTCGTGCTACAACTATACTACTAATATATCTGCAGCATGGCTCTACCACGTATAAGCAGCTTTTATATCCAAATAAAATTCGCCGTTATCATCACTGCTAACCATTATTACATCAAAATTTGAATGGTTATTCCACTATCTATAAAAGGTTTATTGTGCTCATCAAATCTAAAAAAAAATATTCTAATCCAAATTAATAAATTGTAAGGTGATATCTCTGCTGTCCGCTGCTACGGAGGGTGCTCCACCATCTACCGTCGCTTGCATCGAGAGGGCAGTCGACATGCTAAGGACATCCGAGCTGTACTCGCCGCAGATGAAAGAAGACCCTAGGCTTAGAGCCGAAGATCCAATAGCCACTGACCTAATTGGAGCATTGCTTTCGGTGAGTCTCTTTTTTTTCTATGCATTACGTGAACAAGTTTATTTTTTTTTTTTTTTGGAAATAGTGTAAATAAATTATTTTGGAAAAATTAACATCGAATATCATTCTTCGATGATGATCTTGTTTTTCGATATTTTGCATTTCAAATTTTTAATAGCCGATTAAATACGATATATCGTCAGTGAAGTTCTAACAGTACGAAAGTCAAATATGGCTACTTTACAGGAGAGTGAAAAAACTGTATGAAATCGATGTAACTTACGCATAAAACCATATTGTGTTTAATTATTAATACAAATGAACTGTGTGATGATTTGAACTCGTGAAAATCGCGAGAATCTTTTCCATTGAAGTAATTTGGTGAATTCCGCAGTATTGCCAGTAGTTGTCACTGACTTACGTCATGTTTCATCGAATTAATATAGGTAAAGGAGATAAAATGGAGAAGGGAAATGATAAAATTGTTTAACAAAATGGTGTTAAAAGTTTATTTTATAAAAAAGAGAAGAAAAGAAAATAATTTGTATTATAAAAATGTTTTGCTTAAAACGAATCAACTTCTTATCTATAATCAGACTTATGAGATCAATAGGGTAGGGAATCATAGTACCCGTGACAGTCAGAAGGAATAACAGTCTTTAACTCCTGTAAATGTTTCCATTTAGTTACTGATATTTTAATGCGACTTTGGTAGAGTTTTGGTCTAGGGGGTAAAGTTTCGGGCATTACTACTCTTCGTCGAATTCTGCGTGGCAGATCTTGATAATCCTCCTCAAAGTTCAATTTATATTTGATGACTCTACTTGGATTATACTGCAGTGCTCGTATGTCCGTTACTGTAGGATCATTGACGGAGCGAACAGGCCGTATGGAGTCATACATAAACGAATTCTTGTCTGAGAAGTCGTCGAAAAAACTGTAGTCTAAATATTCAACCAAATAAGGTTTTTGCGGTCGAGCTTGTTTTGATAACGTCGCAAATTGACTTGGTAGAAAGATCTCCTGGTTTTTTAATTTTTGCTCGATGGAACTGTGAACCGCATCACACTCCATCTGTGTGTGACCTTTCTCCAAAAATTTTTGTTCTATAACGATGTTTTTTTCCATCGATAGTTGTAGCAGAGCATTCGATAGATAAACATTCCGATTCTGCGCCGTACAACCATCAGAATATAAAATTATTGGCATGCATTTCTTCAGTAGTGTTTTTTTTAAAGCAGTCTATGATGCATGATATAAACACAGAAGCAGTCAAACCAGCGTTACTTTCGTCAAACCAATAGCAGGTAACTTCTTTGTTGGCAAGATTATACATCGTAAAATTATGTACACATAGTTTAGTTTTAAAATATAAAGCACTGGCTTGAAGTTGTGGACATAACTTTACGGCCTGTAAATCTTGTGTAAAAACATGTACGTCATCCAATTGACGAGCCTCTTTCTCTCTTTATCTTTCACTTTCTCGCTTCTTGCCATGTCTTTTTTCTTAATATGTGATCGATATTCTTCCTCTGCTATGTTGCCTACCTTGTACGAACAGCAAGTATCGCACTGATCTTTTTTAGGCGAGAACAGGCTTAGATTCAACTCGTCAAAAACTTTGCACATAGTCCAGCGACTAAGTGGACTTTTCGACTCTTTTTCGCACTCTTGGATGTACAACCTAAAAAGACAGTTCTTGTTTTCAACAATCGGCTCTAAATACTGTTTCGATGTAGATGCCCTGCAATAGTGCGAGGGCATTTTTGGTAACGAAACGAAGAACTGTTTGAGGAATGTCATGTCTTCTTTCTTAATAACGCGTTCATCATTGTCGTCGTTTGGTCGTGGTGTTGTTTTAGCAATGCCATGTTCAGATCTATCAATCCAGCATCTTATAGTCGACTCTTTCAAACCCAGAGTGTTCAAAAAAGTCTTCAGACAAACTTGGGTACGTCCCTCTGAGACGTACCCGTGTACTGAGAAAGTACTGTTTACTCTCTCTTCTACGAGAATTAGATTTTACTTTTACTTGCTTTTTTTCACAAACGGAGACGTGAGATACAACGTACTGTTTCCATTGCTCCCAAGTCATGCTTTTCCAGAACTTGCCAAAAATGTTCTCTCTTTCGATGTCAGACAAGCTAAAACAGCCACGTAACTTAGACTTCGAGCAAAATGTGGAAGTGCAACGTGAACCAATTGAACGTGCTGGACGTGGCACATCATGAAGTACATTAAATTTCTCTTGCCCTGAAACTTTCCTGTCCCTACGGTACCCCACATATTCTTCACCTTGCATACGCTTCAGTTTTATTGTGTTTTTATTCCATTTTTTAGGTTGAGCGAATCCCTTCGATTTCCTTTTTCTATTAGAATTTTTATCTTCGATCTCACTGTCAGACGGTAGCTGCTCCAATAGCGACGGTGAATTTCCGGCAGTCGTGGAAAGCGGCTGTACTTCTTCATTTAAACAGGCAGATGGAACTGAAGGTAAGAATGTCTCTTCAATGTCATTTTCAGGTGGTTGTGTCGCTTCTAATGGCGGTGAAACCTCAACAGACGAAGACAAAGGCTGCAATTCTTCTCTTGGCTGCAAATGTACTATGGTAACTTATTCAGACGAAAGAGGTATGGTATCCTGAATGTTTTGAGTGCTCAATAGACCCAGCAAAGGCGGAGATGGAGGCTCGGAAACTATTTCTATTGGTGAGTTATTAATATCGATATTTTCTAAGTCAGTCAATGTTACCGGTAATATCTTCTGTTTTTTTGTTGGTACTTGTATCTTTAAGTCGCTGCAAAGAATCAACATGTCATCATCAAGTTCTTCGCTATCACTTAATAGAAAATCCATCTTGTATTTCTATGCAATCACCTTGAAAAAAGAGAAAGAAAGTAGGTAAATATAATGGAAACACAACGTAACTCAGAAAATAATCGTAATAATAAATAAACACACTTGTTTTAACAGTTAAAACGTGAGCAAATAACATTAAATCGATATTATTAGGAATAAAACATCAAGATAAATTGAAAATAATACCTTAAATCGAAATCACAAGATTGGAGCACTTGATGCACGACGAGTTTGTACGTGAATAGCTGACACATACGCAATGTTGGCACCACCAACTGAGATACGCAATGTAACTATTTTTCAAATAACGCGTTGGTATTTGTCAGGAATCGTGTTTTGATTGGTCGACACGATGCGCGCCACAATGCTTTCTCCAATGACATTCAAATCTCAAAACACTCACAAAATGACTTACGCACTGTTAGAACTTCACTGACGATATATAATCTGAATAACTATACTAGAACGAGAAAACAATAGTAAACAAAAACAATAATGTATTTGAAATAGTTTAAGAACATACTTCAATAGAGTATTATTAATTTATACAAATATAAAAGCTTTAAAAGTTACAAAAAGTTTTTTGTTGCTTATTAAATAAATATTATGCATGTATAGAATATTATCAATAAATGTTGTGTATTTAGGTATTTACATATTATTATGCATTCGTTTTTATATATATTTAAAAACAGTTGCGAAATGTCAACTAACATTGATATTTATTTGTTTATGATCCTGGTCTACTGGGGATAGCGGGAGCAAGTGAACACAAACTTGTTCTTTATGGTAGGATGTTTGAAATTACCACAGCCTGTCCTTGTGCATTCTTCTCGTGCTGTCTAATTAGATCTTATTTATTTATTAAGTTATTCTTTACACACTATAGCATCTTATGCTTACTACTTTAAGCAGAGGTCATTTTAATTAAATATCAGTATAATACACACAGTAATGGCCTATTTATGTCAATTTATTTATAACTATCTAATTTGTCGTTCAATAAAATTAGATATTTACCCAAAATCTCTATTTTCTTACTATTATCTAATCAAATAGATTAGGTATGTATTAACATATTTTAACACACACGACGAAATGGTCTCTGCCTAAAAAAGACCTTTCTCCACCTACTGTAGAACTACATGTATTTATTTCTTTCGAAATGAATATGATGAATGTTGTTTCATTTTTTTTTCATATAACTACGTTTTTCAACTCGACGTAATTTTTATTATTAACAAACCTAGCAACAAACTAAAGCCAAAATTTTCTAACGCTATCATTAATCCTAAATTCACTTTTATTTCTGAGTCTATTCGCTTAGATAAGGTCGTCTTTGTGTCGCGCCGCCTTAGCACGTGCCGCATCTTGTCAAAGGGGCCGCCGCGACATCATAGGTCGCCGCGTGTGGTGTACACCGGCAGGGAAATTCGGCATTTTAAAACTAAGCGCCGTACTTGTATTTATCTTTTTATTCATATTTTATTGCAATAATCATAAAAATAAAATATTATCCTATTTTATTCTTAAAAAAGAAAAACATTTGTTTAACAAACACAGTAAAAAAATAACAAAATAACACTATCTTAGCGAACAGACATTACAATGAAATTACAAGTTTTGTTCATCATCATTATATTATTTTATCCCTTTTTATTGACTAATTAATATTTATTTCTTTAGCAAGGGCCAACTAACGTGCTCTCATCTCGGAGGAGCAGCAACGACTCAACTATTGTCAGATCTCAAACAAATAGGACTAATATCAAGCATAAGGTAAGCTTTAGTTTAATAATCACGTAATCAAAAATGTACGAGGGACATTCAGAAAACAGTGAGAATGCGGTACAAACATTTGGAATTTAAAAAAGTAATACTTGCTGAAATATCTTTAGAGTACTAAAAAAACAACTGATTATCTTTTGTCAAAGGTTATATATTCATTATTATTCTATTATTCATACTTGCAAAGATTGTTTTGTTTGTTAATGCTAATGCTACAAGTTTGCCATTGCGAGGGCTACAGTTAAGGCGACACCGTGAAAAATGCACCTCCTTTCATCAAATAGTATAGGACTATGACACCACTAACGAAAGTGGAATTTTGATATAGGTAAATTCATGTCTTTATCTTGAATTTGATTGTTCAAAACCACGATTGTATAATTTTGACTCGATCACAATTATTTGCGAAAACACCTCTAAAAATCATTATAGTTGAAATTACAACGAAATTACTTAACCTATATGCTTGGGAATCACTCAAATATATTCATAACATCATCATCATCATCATAATTACAGCCCTTCACAAGTCCACTGCTGAACATAGGCCTCCCCCAAGTAATGCCACAAAGCACGGTCCTGAGCCACCTGCATCCATCGACTTCCTGCATGTCTTACCAGGTCGTCACTCCATCTAGTGGGGGGTCGCCCTACACTACGCCTACCGGTACGAGGCTGCCACTCGAGAACCTTTCTTCCCCATCGGTTATCGGTTCTTCGAGCTATATGGCCGGCCCATTGCCACTTCAGCTTACTAATCCGTTGGGCTATGTCGATCACTCTGGTTTTACTGCGGATATCCTCATTTCTGAGTCTATCACGCAGAGAAACTCCAAGCATAGCCCTCTCCATAGCTCGCTGAGCGACCTTAAGCGTCCTCATTCGGCCAGCAGTGAAGGACCACGTCTCAGATCCGTAAGTCATCACTGGCAACACGCACTGGTTGTACAATCTAGTTTTTAGAGATTGAGGTATACCTGACGAAAAGATATGTCGTAATTTCCCGAACGCTGCCCAGCCGAGTTGAATCCGTCGATTGACCTCTCGGTCGAAGTTGGACTTACCTAGTCGGACTATTTGTCCCAGGTAAACGTACTCGTCAACAACTTCGAGCATAGTGCTCCCAACAACTACCGGCATAGGTGTGACATGGACATTAAACATAACATCAATATTCATAATTTACTTGTTCATTATTTTGATTACTTAAATCAATAATTTAAAAAAAAAATATTTTATGATTCTGACAATTTCTAAGCGCTTTTAATCGTCGCGGGCGCTACGCAATTTTAGACCTTATGACGGCAAGATTTTTTTCAAGTTTTTATAGAAATTATGTATTCACTCGGATCAGTACGGCGATAGCCTTTTCGATGTGTCGTCTTAAACCTTTTCCCTGTCTCATGAATTATATATGAACATTTCAATTGTTTAACTATTATATCTATATCGCATACAGGGAACCTGTTAAGATTCAGGGCTTAAAATCCTTTTGCATCCTCCATATTCACCAGATACAGATCTTGCTATAGACATAAATTCATAAATTCATATGCTGCTTTATCGACGCCACTTAGACAGTAAATGACATTATAGTATAGCCCGTACGGATAAAGAATGGGATTAGATATGGCGAATCATAGAGCCCGTACATCAACATGTACAGTACCAATGGCGAAAACCCGCTAATAACTTTTTATCGTTATAACGTTATATTATTCCGTTAATTGGACATTTTCTATTAATAAGAAAATATTTGAAAATTACCGTACACGCAAGTAGGTACATTAATTTTAAATTAAATTTATAACTAGCGACCCGCTCTGGCTTCGCCTGGGTGGTTTCTAATAATGTGGCGTTATTTAGACTTAAGATAATCTTTAAAGTCCATTTATTTTACCTTTCAATTTAGAAATATTGAAAAATTAAGTCTAGATCACTCCTGGTATTAAGCTCTATTTGTTCGTGATGTTTTATAGCAATTGGTTGAGCCATTCTGAAGATTAGCTCGGACAAACATGTAAACCAAAATTTTAAACATGGTTACTTTTTTCTCAATGGCATGTATTTTAAATATCATAAAAATAAGAAGAAAACTCAGAACACATCCTAGCTCACAAATTAGCAAAACTGGACTGAGTTTTTTTTGCGGTTTATAGCATTTTGTTATTATTAATTCTAATAACATGTTTTGGTATTCTTAAAAAAAATCAAGTTATAGCCTATTAGCCTATACTGGCGGGTGTGAGTGTAGATAGCAACAGTGTGCGAGTAAAATGTGAATAGAGGCGCCGGCATTTTCAATCCCATTCTTTAACCTTTAACCTTAGTAGTAGTAACTATTTTAGTCGATTTTAGTATTGTGTAATGTAGTTGGTTTTCTTTAAGTTGATTTTTCAATGTTCCTAATTATTGCCAAAGCTGGTTTGCTATTTTTTTTTCTTAATATACCCAATACTTATATTTTACGACTTTGTGTACTGTATTACTGATGTCTATAGCAAGCATCTATAATTTATGTCTATTTCCAAATTTAAGGAAGTATATAAAAAGGTAGAGCTTTGAATATAATGAGCAACTGTCGCTACAGTATATTATAAGAATTTTAAGGTGAAGAGTTCTTTAGGATGGTAACTTTAGGCTCAATAAGATATTCCAAGTGTATAGCATTAAGGTGCAAACAATTAAAAAAATAACATAATTTAATTAAAGTTACCTGTAGTTATCATAAACCCCACTGTGTAGGAGGCAGTGTAAGAATATCCACTACGCCATATCGTACCGTAGATATTGTAATAGGCGACAAAGTGAAACAAGTCTGGAAATTGGCAGCAGCGTTTTCCATCTGCTAAACGTAGCAACTATGGGACAGATCCTCCCTATGAGGCAATCTATGGATTAGTCTTATGTTCAGCAGTAACAGTGACATTCCCATAGGGTGTAACGGTAACGGTAACATACCTACTCATTCTCACTTTTTATTAAACGCCCCTAGTACGTAAATCTTTAGGATTACAATTACATATGAACTCAAAACATTTCAATATCTCTAATTAACGATTTCCATGGTCTTCGGTCAATACAATCAAAAATTTATTAATTTTTTACTTGCAGCTAATTATTAAGTAAGCTAAGTAAGTCCTTTAATAACCTAAGAAGCTATTAAGTATATACTGTACTTTATTTTATTTTATTGTTGTAGCCACATA